GGCAGCCCAGCTCCAGGTTGAGCTGTTGTTCAGCATCTTAGCCTACTGTAGAGGGCAGTGTCACTGGCCCTCATTTGTGGGATCCGAACCAGGGTCCTCTGGCATCCCAAGCCAGCTCTTAACCAACGCGCCACTCGGCAGGCCCCAAATTTGTTTTCTAAACCCAACTAAATGTACTTAAGCACAACTCAAAACCCAGGAATTATCAAGGAAAACATAAGAGCAAAAGATTTGATTATTATGTAGATATTTCAAATGAGTCAAGGGAACCATAAAAAAGTTTAAAAACGTATGAGTTCAAATTTATAACACAGAAAAAATTTATAACATACAGAATTTATAACATACATTATTAGTCCTAATGTATAAGGAAGGTAGCCATATTTTCAGCAAGTGAACTTGAACTCACCTTTGTTGGCCTCACCAACGACTTGGTCCTTTGAGCAGTCCCTCCCTCCCTACTCCCTCCAGTATGCATATGTCTGTTGTTCCCCCAAGTACACATAGCCCCATCCAGTTACCACTCTGTTTCTTTGTTCTTCATGAACAATCATCTTGAAGTTCTCTAGTTTTTTTTCCCATTTCTTCACCACCTATTGACACTTCAGCTCAGGGATCCCCAGTCTGGCATAAGGGGCAACAGGCCCTATTGGTTGATGATTCAAATGTATTAAAGCCCCGGACAGTACTTTAGTCCTCCTGGCCAAGGTGATCTTACCTGTAATTTCATCTGTGACTTTAATATTCCCTTCTTCCTTTCTACCAATCCGCAGCCTGCAGATTATAGGGGAGATGGAGCCTTCACTCAGTGTCATGTTCTTTTGCCCAGTCTTGCATATCATGTCCTTTGAACTGTGAACCACAATCACAGTCTGATGAGAATATCTATACATGGTACTTAGCTTCTCTAATCTCTTAACAGTAGTAGTCTGGTTGCTGTGACAGGGAAAACTTAGGTTAAGCCAGGTGTGGTGTCCACACAAAACAAGGCATATTTAGAACCCTGACTTGGAGCCCACACGAGGCTGTTGAAAGCGGTAAAGGCAGGTGTACAATACCCACTGGGTGCAGTTCTCAGATAGGTTCTCCTATTTCCTTAACTCCTGCCCCGGCAATTTATGTTTGACACCACTGTTCCAGGGAGCGGTGGACTTACTGGTTCCCAGTGGGCATTTACCCTCAGCACTGGTTTGATTACTCTAACCTGGAGGTGGAATTCACCGGTTTTGCAGAGTTTGACCTTGTAGGATATCAATGCCCCATATGTTCTCTGGTATTGGAAAGATAAAAAAAAAACTTACATTCTTGTGGGGGAGAATGCCCAATTTGCAGTGTCAAAGGGACCTTCCTGACCATAACAATGTCCCCTCTGTAACCATCAATGGTGTCGGGGGGCCCAGAAAACTTCTGAGTAAATTTGGCTCTAGTATTAACCAGAACTGTCACCTTTGTTTATTTCTGGAGGACCAGTGAATGGCGAGCTCAACTTGGGGCCTTTGATCACCCCCACCTGGAGGTGATCATGGCCTGGATCCTATACTCAGGGTGGCATCCACCCCAATAGGACTGTATCTCTGAGGCCTATGCTGTAAAAGTGGAGTCCTAGGGGTGGTAGAGCCAGGGGTGGTAGGAGCAGGGCTGAACTGTTGTTCAGGTTTTAATGCTTTCCATAGGCCAACCAACACAGCATTGGGTCATGGGGGCCCCATGGGAATGGGGAAAACCACACTTGTTTCTCGGTTACTTTCACTGGACCCTTTACAGCCAATTGGGATAGGCTTTTGGCTTCTTGAGTTTTCTGTCTTCAGTCTTTCCCATAGTCTGTACTCAGTGCCAGGATTTGCCCGTTTCCCCCAGGTCAGCAGTGGACTATCCAGCATCATAAATGTTGTCCCACGACTAGTCTCAGCATGGATATCAGTGTCCCATAACCTGGTACTAGGGGAAGACTGGATTCAATCTTACAGTGACTGGCTCGATCAGGGCCTTCAAAGACATGGGTGTAATTGGCCTGTCTCATTCCGAACTCCCTAAGAAATTGTTGTACTTCCTTTATTGATTTCCAGGGTCCCATCTGTCCAGGGAGACAGGGAGATCCCCCTTACTGGGTCCAGCTTCCTGCAGGATAGAATAATCCAATCAACAAGGGAGTGAGTACCTTGAACCCCAAGCATCACGCAGGTGCTGCCGGAGGGCAGGGTACCATAGTGATAAATGATTGTTTTAAGCCATCAAGTTTTGGGGTGGTTTGTTCTGTAGCAATAGATAATTGATAAGACCTGGGATACTCTCCACTTTGCATGGCTGCTTTCTTCTCCTTCTTCAGGTCTCAGTTTCAAAGCTTTAGGTACATAGTCCCTATTATTCTGTTATAACTACCTGGACTTTTCTCATTTTGTAATTATTTAATGATTTCTTTGTCTACTTTCCCTACTAGGCTTGAGTTTTTAAAACTCTGGTCTGGACCTATTAATGGGTCATAAATCAATTTTAAAAAATGAAATAAAATTTAATATAAAGTATCAGATTAAGTAAAGGATAAGCATTGTATTTTGAAACTTAAGTGTAGGTAATGTATGTGTGTGCTGGTGGACAGTGTAAAATATGTATTTTCCTAGTTTTAAAAAAGTTTGAAAGCCACTATATTAAGCTGTCAATTCCTGAGGTCAGTGACCATGTCTCTTTCACTCGCCATAAACATCCAACAACTAGCAAAGGATCTGGCACTTGGTAAACAGTAAATACTGTGAGAATAAGAAAATGGTATGAGAATGAACTGTAGACAGGAAGTGGAGGTAATGTTACTCTTTGAAGAAGTTTGGCAATGAAGAGATGAAGAGAAAGAATAAAACCTTGAGCAGAAGAGTTTTTGGGAAAGGGGAGACATAACTGTGTTCATTAACTGTTGGTAGGGATCTGGTGAAAATTGAGAAAAAATGCAAGATAAAGAAGACAAATATTTGATAGTACAAGGCCCAAACAAGCTGGAGGACAAAAATCTAAGGTACAATTAGAGGGATCAGCTTTCAGGAAAAAGATGTATTTCTTTCTGAGATTGAATGAAATGAGAAATGTTGAAATAGAGAACATGGGGGAGTGGGGCTAAAGGAGCTCATTTCTGAAAGTCTCCGCTCTCAAATTATGAGTCAAGGTTTGTGACAAGATTAAGAGTAGTGGAATTCTGAGTTTAAGAAGAGTGGAAACATTTAGAGATAAGGCCTTTGAAGAATGAGGGGGAGTCCACACAGTCAAATTGAATCTGACACTAACAGAAAGAAGAAATGTAAGTTGAAAATTGTAAATGTGAAATTGGGTTAATCTGCATGATTATGTGAATTTTCTTCCAGCATTGCCTGCCATCTGGGCATAGGAGTAAAAAAATCAATTGTTGGAATAAAACAAAAAGAGGGATATGGCAGGTTGAGAGGGGCAAATGAGAGTGCTGGTAAGAAAGGGCAGTAGACTTAAAATGCTTCTGGCTCCGGTAGGAAGGGAGATGAAGCAAGAGATCAGGGAAGCATTAAGGGCTTAACATAAGTGCAATAGGCTTGAGTTAGTGGGAGAGGATGTGTTACCTTACAGCCAAGTCCTCCACCGCCCCCCNGCAATGAAAATAATTTTATGGTTGGGGGTCACCACAACATGAGGAACTGTATTAAGGGGTTGTGGCATTAGGAAGGTTGAGAACCGCTGCTCTAAAATTAATGAAATATGTAGTACCATCAGCATTGTGGTTTGAACACATTGGGTTCAGTTAACCTGTGTGACTACTGGCTTGGCCTCAAAACTGATGCATAGTTGTTAAAATTGTACCTGTGGAAATAGAAGGAACAGAATCCAAATGACTGGTTTTTAAACAAAGTTTAAAAGTATAACTGCCATGTATATAAATTGGAAACTATTACGAAGGGTCATATTTAGTTTTTTATTTTTTATTTATTTTTTAAGATTTTATTGGGGAGTTGGGGGAGGGGAACAGACAAGTTGCTGTCCTTTTGTTCTTCAGTCTAGTGGAGGATGTTGCTTCACTGGCCCATGTTGGTATTATAATTGCACTCTTCCCAGTTGAGGCAGATTGGTCGCCGGCCATTGGACGGCCACTCACGGCGGTTCACGGCCTCTCATGCTGGCTGCCAGCCACTCAGGCAGCTCACAGCAGCCCACTGCAGCCCCACTGCAGCCCACGCCATCGCCGGCGACTCACAGCAGCTCAGTTCCAGGTCGAGCTGTTGTTCACCATCTTAGCTGTAGAGGGTGTAGCGTCACTGGCCCTCATGTGGGATCCGAACCTGGGCCCTGCTGCTCAGAGCTGGCATCCCAAGCCAACTCTTAACCAATGCACCACTCTGCCGGCCCAGGGGTCATATTTTAAAAAAATCCTTAACAGTCTTTGATAACTTGTTCCATAATTATTCATTTTGAATGAACAAAAACATTGGATCCTGTGGCCCCCTAGTTTTTGGCTTGGGTTACTGAAATGTACCATCAATGTCTGCTGAAAACACTCTACATGTTCTAACAACTTCTAAACTCCATATTATGCTGCATTTAAGTGTTACTGTAGCGACTAAATTGCAGGACATAAAACGACTTAAATCTGAAGAGAAGGACCAGATAACCACTGAATTATAGCTGTGGTTGTACTCATGGTGACAGGAATATCAGATATTTTTATACATACAGTCCTCTCTGGAATAAACTGCCTGGTTTATAGGAATCAGCTCAAGAATTTGTTCCATGAGATCTCTGGACTTTCCCACTTGCCCAGCCTCCTTAAAGGCCAGAATCACTCATGGAATGGTTTGCATTACTTACCTCTGTACATTTAGCATCTCGCAGTGTGCCTGATACACAGCGGGCATTAAAAAATGTTTACTAAGTGGAGGAGTTAAAAAAATTAACTTGTATCTCATCCTGATTAATCATTACGTACAAATTTAAGATGTTTAAAAAGAAAGTAAGTGGTCACTGGTTTTATTATTGAAGCTTGTGTTTTGTAGATGGAAAATATCACAAGCAGATTAAAATAGAAGAGAATGCCACAGGTTTCAGTTATGAGTCACTTTTTCAAGAATACCTTAATGAAACAGTTACAGAAGTTTGGATAGAAGATCCTTATATTAGACATACTCATCAGGTAAGTGAAATGTACCAAAATATGATGAACTGTTGTTTAAAATGTACCAGTCAGTAGTAACCCATCCTGTTGTCTTTTCAGCTGTATAACTTTCTTCGATTTTGTGAGCTGCTTATTAAGAGACCATGTAAAGTAAAAACTATTCATCTGCTCACCTCCCTGGATGAAGTAGGTATCTGAAGGCATCTTTCTCCATTCATTTTATTCAGTTACAGCATGTAACTCGAAAACCTAGCTGTAATGCTTCAGCTGGAGCTATTTCCTTTGGTTGGGGTGGGGGGATTTATCTAGCAACGGGCATAAAACACCTTCAGAAAATGCTGTTGATTATAATATCTTGTACCTTACATTTGGCCACTTTGCTAAACTCTCTTATTCAAATAGTTTGCCAGGTTATTCTCTTGGATGTTGTGTGAATAGGAGGCGATCACGCTGTCTGCACTATTGACAACTTTGTCTCTTTTCTACCAGTTATGATATCTCTTTTTCTAGATTGATTGCATTGGCCTTCTTGGGGATCCTAGCATGATAGTGGGTGTCTCCCTCATGATTTTGACTTACATAGGAATGCTTCCAAATAATTCAGATGCCTGTGATTCATCTGAGAAGAAGGCAACCCCATCTCATCTGAATAACTAGACAGCATTACTAATATATATTTTAGGAGATGAGTCAGAGCTGTGTTATGTTCACATTAGGAAAAAAACCTATTTATTTTGATAAGAACAATTGCTCTCAAACTACTTCATATTCTTTGGTTGCTTCTTTGAGATAATAGACATTGAAACTAGTATAGAATCTTTCCATTTTGACTCACCTATGATACACATTGCACAGTGTAGGGATAATTAAAAATATTAACAACTGAGGCAGAAAATTGTATTTTTCCTATTAACAGGGCTTTAGGAAACAGCAGCAAATTAGTGGCCTGGAGGAAATAAAAGAGTCACTTGGGAATCATGGAGTGCTGTTGGAATTAGAATACTCTTCTTCAATACATGACCGAGAAATTAGGTTAGTGTATAGAAATATTTTCATTTTTATGCAGTTGAAAAACGCTTCTTTTCATTTAAGTTTTATATAATTGCATGTAAATATTTAATTTAAATATTAAAATTTTAAATAAAACTCAATTTTAGTATCTTTTCACTTCATTTTTTCACTCAAGGAAAAAAAAAATCTGGCTTATTTTGCCCTGTATGCAAGTTTCATACTTCCTAATAGAGTAAATTTACATGTTCTATATCATGAGAAGAAGTACTTTTCTGTCTATTCAACTCTACATACTGTGTTATGGTATTGGAAGAATTTCCGTTTCTGGTGATACTGATATTTTTTTAATGTGGCTTTACTTCTTATGGTTTATAAAATATTCCAGTAGGCATGACAGTATGCTATGTCTATAAGGAAATGGGGTATGCAGTTATTTTCATGGTATGTTCCCTCTGTGTAGCACAGCGGCTTTCATATGTTTATAGCAGTGGAACCCTCCATTTTTTTTTTTTTTTAAAGATTTTTATTGGGGAATTGGGGGGATGGGAACAGTGCTGGGGAATTGGGGAAAGGGGAACAGACAAGTTGCTGTCG